TCATTGTAATCAATCTTCACTTACTGATCTACCGTTCCAGCATCTGAAGAGCTTATTTGCATCTTGTGGACACACAGTCATGTCTTAAGCTCTGCAGGACAAACACACTGAAGAAAGCGCATGCAGTGTAGTCATTATATACACAACAATTTATAGTCTACATGAAACAGAGCATTTGTATGTGTGTGCTTACAGCAGCTAACATTACCGTTGGTATCAGTTAAATACTAGTTAGTCGATCAGGAAACTCCATAAATCACCTCGGTACCGCTGTTTTTTTTGTTAAAAAGGAGTTTACAATATGACGGCGGGGACTGCTAATCCTTAAAGGGTTAAAGAGGCATTTTTGATTTCATCTTCACTTTTAAAGGAAGTGTACCGGTCCACTGAAGTATTTCCTATGTGCTGTGTCTTCCTCTCACAGGGCCGTGAAGGAGAGATCCGTCACCTGTTTCGAGGCTTCGCCTTCCTCCACTGTAAAAAGCTGGTGGAGAACGGAGGCATGTTCGTATGTAAGACCAGACACCTGGTGCTGGCTGGTGGATCCAAGGTCAGCACTGCATTGGCTGCTTGATAAGTGAATGTGGGCTCCTATTGGCCAAAAGGTTTCCCCTTAAAGGTCCAGTGGTTGAACATTGGAGGAGGATCTATTGTCAGGGAAATATAATATAATATCCATAGGTGGGTTTTTCATTAGTGTTAATCACCTGAAAATAAGAATCATTGTGTTTGTTTTGTTACCTAAGAATGAGCACGTTTTTACCTACAGGCAGGGGGAGCGGGTCCTCTTCTGGTAGCTCTCCAAACCAAAACACTTGGCTCAGTTGGAAACCTTTACGAGTTTCATTGGCCACCGTAGTTTCCCCGGAAAGGGCTGAGCTGTATTCAAAACGGTTGCAATTTGCAACTTCACCACTCAGGCATGGCACTAAATCTGCACACAGCGACCTTAATATTACAAAGACAACAGCAGACTGGAGAAAGTTTAGAGGTTTGGTAATCAGGAAATATTAACCATTCACCACAAACATTAAATCAACAAAGTCAAATGTGTGTAAACTGCAGGAGCCTGAAGGCCATCAAAAGGCTGTAACTCTGGAGGGCCCTTAACACACAACCCGGCTGTCCTAACACATTTACAATGAAACTCTCCAAATGCCATATTCTTTCTCTTTCAAGCTAATTCTGCTCTTTCAGCCCAGAGACGGTGGACCAACTTCACTGGGGAGGTTTCTGCCCCAATGAGTCCTCGCGATCAGCAGTCCCATGCACCACGGTGGAGGGAGTACAGTGGTCGGAAACCAAACACAGGGGGGCCCTAATATAATGTATATATATAAGTGTATATATATATATATATATATATATATATATATTTTCTAGTTGGATCCAAAAACTCTACTAAACTAATATTTGTGTATGCCGTCAGTTATAGTTATGATAAAGACATAAATTACCCACGGGGGGATTTGGTTTGCAGTAAAAGACATTTCTCTTGACAAAAATATAAAAACAAAGATGATAAATGAGGCTCTTAAAATCAAGACTTACAAAGAAAACAAAAAAAACACTAAAATAAACACTAGAATACAATGCAGATAGAAACAAAATCTGTGGAATTATAATGCTTATAAAAAAAAGGCAGTGAGAACATGAAGTAACTAACTAAACACACTGGTTTCTGATAATAATAATGCAGCATTTTTGATTGATTAACGGAGCCTGGCTGTTGCTCGCTGTGCACAATAAACCTCCAGGGTAACTTACTGTTTTCAGTCACAGCTGAGTTCAGGATAAGGATGCGTTTCTCTGTCCAACAAGCATTCTCCACTGGTCTTCTTCGTTAAAGGAAAGGAGAACGGTTCTTTCTGTTGTGTGTGTGTGTGTGTGTGTGTGTGTGTGTTGTCCTCGCCTCGATTTGTCACATCTGTAAGTTCTTGAGCATTTAGCATCAGCTCTCTTGACGGTGGACACGTTGCATTTCTCTTCCTGCAGAGGAAAGATCTCATCTGTCGGCCTCCTTACTCTTTGGCCTCTCCATCAGCTCTTGTTTGTCATTGTTTGGCTCGAGTTGGATAAATAAAGTCAAAACTGTAAATCAGAATCCTTAAGGACGTCGCCAAATATCCAATTTGCAAAGTAGTTGTTTTGCCAATCGTCAGTGTTGGAGAAAACAAATGGTTTTGCTCTTTGTAGACATAACAGCATTATATGAGAAAATTATTTAATTACTGTGAAATACAAGATGTTAACTCTAAACTCTAAAAATGACAAATAGCACTCCTCGTCTACTCCAACACTGAGCTGTTAGATGAGTAACTTGTGACTGAAAGCTGAATGAATTTTATCTGCAGCTACCGACTACTGACTTGTCCAAGCGAGTATTGATCATCCTTAATACCGAAACCTCCCAAAAGTAAGAGTAGTCGAAGGTCCCTTTCACACAAGCACTGCAGCCCTGAACCTTTCCGGACATTACTTAGAGGAGCTGTCTATCTGTCGGTTGGGAACAGTGTCATCTCGTTTTGCTCACAGTGGCTAATGTTAGCAGTGCTAGTGTTAACAGCCTCCATGTGCCCACCGTGCTGAATGTGGTTGCACATCGCTCCGGTTGGCTTATATCAGTTTATATCTCACCTTATTTTCACTTTCTACTGGATCAAAACACTGAAGATCCGCCATCTTTCTCCCTCTCTGGTTTAACTGCTGTGCTGTGACTGTCTGTCAGAGCTGCTCCCTCTCTAGTGGCCAATGTTTGTGTAACAGCTAGGATCAGTTACCCAGCTTTGGTCAATGTTAAACAATATTAACAATAGTTTAACAGACTAACCGAGGGTAGCAAACGTCTTACACAGACAATTTCCTGTTATATAAGGGCAACTCTGGACATTGCCCAGAGTTCATATGAGAGAACGTATGAATTAATCCCATGCATTGATAAAACAATGAATATGAATAATAGTTTTATCGAAAGCATTTTTAAATGGTCTTAAGCATCTGGAACTAGTCTGACTGTCCCTGTTGGTAAACCCCAACTACAAGGTACTCTGAAAGAGACGAGTCAAACATCGTCATTGTGTGAACTGTGTTGGTGGTCATATTTGTCCTGCAGGTGCTCCACAGAGAGGAGGAGGAGGAGGTGGAGGAGGGATGGGGCGGGGCAGAGGACGAAGAGACAATGAGCTGATTGGTCAGACTGTCCGCATCTCCCAGGGCCCTTACAAAGGTAAGACTGATTGAGGAAACCAGGACCAGTAGGTCCTCACAGGATCTGGTCCATGAGTTTATCACTTCTTGTTTTATTGGTTATGTTAGTGATGAATCTGCCTACATTTCCCAGGTTACATCGGTGTGGTGAAGGATGCAACAGAGTCTACAGCCAGAGTCGAGCTGCACTCCACCTGTCAGACCATCTCTGTAGACCGACAGCGATTAACCACAATGTACGTCCTCTTCATCAGCGGTTCTTGTATTGTTCTGTTGGCGTTGAAGCTATAACTCTTACTGAAACCAGTCGGTAAGAGGAGTGAAAACGACTTCAGTGTCGTTCTTTGCTCTTCTTTTAGTTAAGAACATGGCCCTTCTCCAGTCTGAATATAACTGGTGCTAGCAGTTTGGTCTGATTCCGCTGTAGTTTGGCCACCATAGCATAGACTGAAGACTGCAGGATGATCTCCGCGTTTTTTGTGATCTAGCGAGTCCAGTTGCCTCCTGTTCAGTTGACCTTTTGCCTACGTGTTTACTGTAGTCAAAGACAGTTAAAAAAAGTTCAGAGCAGCCACATATTCAGGGATATCAATTACTGCATCAGTACAATCCTAATCATTAGGGCTGTCCAGACATTAAATGCAGGGGATTTTGATATGAAAGTATAAAACCTACTGCAGCTTTAACCGTCCTCTTCTTCACTACAATGTGTTTCTTTCTCTTCTGTTTCCTCTAGATTTCTTTGTCTCTTAGGGCCAGTCAGTAATTCAGAGATATCCAGTTTCTACTTTCCATGGAATCACATTTTCATGATATGATTGATTGTTCTCTTTACTGTCCGTATTTTGCAATTGAACCAACCCTCCTTTTTCCCTACAGGGGAGCCAAGAGACACAGTGGAATGACCTCCACCCATGGACGTACGCCCATGTACGGTTCCCAGACTCCCATGTATGGTACCGGCTCCAGAACGCCCATGTATGGCTCTCAGACGCCGCTACATGACGGTAAGAGCCCATATTCTACGTATGTAGTTTGAAACTCGACTGTTGGTAGGATAATTTGCGCGATACCACACTTCACAGCGGGTTTACCATACATGGAACAACCTTGTAGCAATCTTTTCATTGTTTTCCGGAGCTGCGAACAGAATTCTCACAAAACCTTGAAAAATTCTTGTTGTTGTCTTAATAATACATCACATCAATGTTAACCAAACTTTACCCAAGCAATATATGTTAATAATAAAAAACTGGGGTTAAACTTTTAATACAAGTGCTTTCCTGTATTGTCAAGAAATCTCCTAGAAAATTTCTTAAAAACAGAAGCCTGTTAATAGGGTGTTGTTGACATTTAACTGAGAAGTAAAACTGTGTGTCGTCGGCATAGAGGTAGCACATACTAGGATGAAAACAAAACAGGTCCGAGGATGGATCCTTGTGGGACACCACATAAAATGGAGGAAGACATAATTGTTAAAGTGTTTCTCCTCAATCTTACAGGAAGCCGTACGCCTCATTACGGCTCTCAGACCCCACTGCATGATGGGAGCAGAACGCCGGGGCAGAGTGGAGCCTGGGACCCCAGCAACCCCAACACACCTTCCAGGTAACACACACACACACAGTTTATTGTGTTCATTTTAGGTGTGTACCTTGTTTTTGTTTTATATATTTATTTATCTTCTCTTCTCAGAAACGAAGAGGAGTACGACTTCGGCTACGACGACGAGCCCTCCCCGTCCCCGCAGGGCTACACCGGGACCCCCAACCCCCAGACCCCGGGTTACCCAGAAGTCCCGTCTCCACAAGTCAACCCTCAGTACAACCCTCAGACACCTGGCACGCCTGCAATGTGAGAACACACACATAGATAGACAGACTGACTGACTTACTGACTTACT